AGCGTTAGGGTACATGAGCTCTGCTCTGTGTGTGAGGAAGCGTTAGGGTACATGAGCTCTGCTCTGTGTGTGAGGAAGTTTCACCCTGTTGGTCTAAAGGGAGCTAAACTCCCTGGACTCTTTATATGTCAGGGATGGCCAGTCTTATCTAGAAAGGGGAAGTAATTAGAGGACTGATTGGCTGAAGAGTCCTCACACCTGGGTTTGAACAGCTGACCTAAAGTTTATCCCAAAAACCTGCATACACACCGGCCCTTTGCAGGTAAGACTGGGTGCCTCTGCTGTATGTATGTAATTAGGTATCTATGCATAACTTAACTCAACCAGTGGCTTATTTTAAGGTTGTTAGACAGATTATACAGGTTTTATAATTACCAGTCAGCCAAAATACTACCTTAGTATTTGTATACAGAATACAGTCAAACTGTCCCATCTTGTCCTAAATTAATTGTCTTTTAAAATATGTGATATCACAGTGTTTGGTCTCTGCTGGTGACGATCTGAAGAGTTTGATTTGCTTAGTGATATCTGTCCCAAATATAATCATGTAGATGAATCACAAGGATTAATGTATCTGTGAATGTGGCCTGAATTTAAATGCATCTGCCAATCAGCATGCAGGACCAGAGCTAGAATATCAAGCCTGTGCAGGTATATTAGCCTTTTAGAATAAGTGGTAACACTTTACTTGAGGGGCACAGATACTTAGTAATGACTCAGTTACTACAAAAGTACAAATCATGAACCAATACAGTATGTATTGGTTCAGCATGTGGCTCAGTGGGCTAAGCCTCTGGGTCTGTGATCAGTAGGTTGCTGGTTCACGCCTGGCCTCAGCAGAATAGTCACGTCTGTGGGCCCTTGAGCAAAGCCCATAACCCCCAGCTCCATGGGGGCTGCTGCAGGTGGCTGCCCTTCACTGCCAAGCTGCTGTCACCTATATATGTGTCTGTGTGTCATGGAGAGCCAGATGAGATAGACAACAAGAGAATTTCCCCCCAGGGGTCAATAAAGTGTCATTAATATTCAAAGATGCATCATGATGCAACATGAAATCAGTATTTCACTTGTTCCTTCAGCAGCTCCCTCAGTGGTTGACAAAGGTTTACAGAATTTACCTGATAGAGTAACAAATATAGTAACTGCTTGGGATAAAAGATTAACGAACATGAGATCAGTATGTAACTAAGACTTAGTTTGTGGTTAATTAATACTTAAGTAATACCATAATACTACAATATTTATGTCCCCTAATTAATAATATTAAGAAAAATACAACAGAGTATTAATCAGTTTAGTAATTTTTTTAACGGCTCATCTTTCCCATTTTTTACTGAATAGTTTAGTTAAGACATACAGGGGGTGAACAAAATAATGGAAAAACCGATTTGGGCCACAGAGGAATCAGTCAGCAGTTTATATGTGAGTTTTATTAGCAAAGTGAGGCAACTAACTCTCTAATGGGCCAAATAGCCAGTGCATCGGTCACAAAACAGCAAAATTAATATATCAAGGTGGACAGTGTGATGAATCATGAGCACAGGCCAAACACAGGCAGACTGCGTCAGCAAAGAGGAACATGGGTCACAAGTCAAAGCTCACAGACAGGGACTGACAGACAGGGAAGCTGGTAAACATCACAAAAGTACAGCTACTAGTCTCAATAAAAGCTGTGAATCATGAACCTCTCAAAGCTGGGATTTATGGCAGAGCTGCCATTCAGAAAGTGCTTCTATCCAGGGCCAGTGAACAGAGACACATAACCTGGTGTAAGGAGCACAGAACATGGACCCCTGAACAATGGGAAAGAATAACATGGTCTGATGAACCATCTGTCACCCTTTTCCTACATCTGGATGGGGTTACATTTGGAGAAGCCAAAGGACGGCATCAGCCCACAGTGCCTGTTGGTGTGGGCAGCCATCTTGTGGGAGTCTTTAGGTCTGATGATGCTCTGCATGGTCCTATATAGGAACATGAGGGCTTTTTACAAGAGCAGCTGCTCCCTGTGTCTCAGACACTGTTCCCTCATGATGTTCCTTGTCCCAAGATGATAATGCCCCCATAGACCCTGCTAAACACATTCAGGAGAGGTTTCATGAGCACCAGCATGGAGTCAGATGCCTTCCTTGGCCTCCCAGCCCCCAGATCCAAACACCATTAAAGCTTTATGGGAGGTTCTGGAGCACAGTGTGTGAAGTCGATTCCCACCTTAATGCTCCATAGAGCTGGAGGCTTTTCTTTCTGAAGAATGGCCCAGTATCCCACTGCACACAGGTCAGGGGGTGTCCAGGGGGGGTCAGAGCTGTTATGGAGCCAAAGGGGGAGGGGGGGGGCTGCTTATTAAGGCCTTAGTATTAATATACTGATATTTCCGTTATTTTCCCACCTCCTCTGAGGTCCTGACTCAAGGATGTTTTAGCAAAAAATGGAGAGAGGGAAAATATTTAATAAAGGCCTGTTTTATGTTATGTGTATTTAATCTGTTGTTTTTCACGTTTTGATGTTTTTTAGATCTGGCTCAGAAAATCCTTTTGGGGATTTTATTCTCACTGCACCTAATATTAAGTCTCCTGTATCTAAGTCTGGTTTTAGACAATGACAAAGGTAAGAAAAACTGGCAACACTTTACTTTATGATCTGCTCCTTAACCATTAATAAACTGCCACTAATCATTTGGTAATATGTTAGTAAATAAAAAGATTCACTTACAAATTTATAAATGTATTACATCTCCCATAGCGACACGCTACGAGCTGCTCTCCCCCTACTGTGTGTTTTTGTTGTTTTTTAGCATCTTTATACGTGTAGCTTGACGTTTTATTGTCTATGACCTCCACACTCTGCTGAACATTAAGCATAATGTCCCCACAAACCTTTCATTCCTGATTTACCTGACAAAATTGTTCAAAACACTACGACCAGACCAAACAGCACCGACCATGGTCAGACCCAGTGGGGGAGGGGGCTGTGGGGCGGCGTACTAACCAGGCTGTGACAGCGTTCACCCCGGCCTCCCTCCCCCACTGTCCTCCTGGCGAACCCCCAGCCTCTGGGAAACAAGCCGGACGAGTTACACTGCAGTATCGGCTCTCAAAGGGACCTTCGGGACTGCAGTGTGTTCTGCTTTACCGAGACCTGGCAGTGACCAAACACTGCACAGTGCTGTACAGCCCCGGGCTTCACTGTATACCACTCAGACAGCACCACAGACAGCACCGGCAAGACAAAGGGAGGCGCTGTCTGCTTCTTTATCAACAACAACTGGTGCCCCGATGCGGAAGCGGTTTCCAAGTCCTGCTCATTCCTGACGATCAAGTGCCGCCATTCTACCTGCAGAGAGTGTTTCCCTCAGTGCTGCTCACTGCTGTTTACATCCCAGCTCAGGCTCCAGCTGCAGCTGTGTTGGACGAGCTCTCACACTCCCTCACTTACCAGGTACCATCAGTTAAGCTTGTGAGGGTTCAGGGCTGAGGCCTTAGGGAGGACATTGAGATTGGGCCTGTGTTTCCACTCGCGTCCCTTTTTAAGATGGACCACAGAAACAGTGAACAAACACAGGTGAAACAAACGGATGAGCTTTTACAAACATAATGCAAACTAAGTTTGCACACTTAACTCAGCCACAGAAGTTTAATTAAAATCCGTCAATAGTGAAGCCATGTCATGGTGAATTATTGTAAATTAAAAACTACATAGCTGGGTAAATCGATAGGGAGTGGTGAGTTCAGGAGAGGACAGCTTTACCCCAGGCCTACTTGTGCATCATGACCTGGCAGCCGTCACATCACAGACATCTTCAGCCTGTCCCCGTCTCTGTGCACTGTGCCCCTGTGGGTTCTTGTGATCTTGATAATGGCCTTTCATAAAGCCTTTCGATTCAAAAAAGCATGTGTTTCATACAGAAAAAATGGGTAAGCATTTAAGGAGACCACAGGCGTGTCTGTGCCGAAGAAAGCTACTGTTTCCTGCTTAATCAGCTACCGTCCCGTCGCTTGAACCTCCGCAGTCCCTGGAAAGTCTGGTCATGTCCTACATCAACCTCAACATGCCCTCAGTCCTGGACCCACTGCAGTTTACATTGTGGTGTAACAGATCCGTGGATGATGCCGTCTGCCTCTCCCTGCACGCTGCTCTGGGACATTTAGGAGAGAAGATCACCTACGTCAGGATGCCGTCCATCAGCTACAGCTCAGCTTTAACACCATTGTATCATCAAACTGGTGTTAGGCTGAGACCTCGGTTTGTGCAGCTCCTCCTGCCACTGGGTGTTTGGTTTATTAACTAATACAGTGAGGGAGAGTCACGTGACACTCGGTGCCGATGGCTGTTTATAGCTCTGCTCTTCCGTGCGTCCCTTCATCCTTTTCCGCCTCTTTTACGGTGCCCTTGCCACTTACCTGCCAGAAATTTAACGCTGTTTTGGCGATCGATCCAGTTATCGTCCTCATGGCTGCTAATCAGCGCAGACCTCGCTCAGATCTTTGTAGCCCGGAGAAGACGTCGCCTCGCTCCAATGGCGGCGTAAATGCGGAGGCCATCTCTCCCCTCCTGGCCCCCTTTTCTTGAGGAGGTGAAGAACTTTGTCTGTGAGCAGGTGAACCCTCTAAATGGTGAACTCCAGCAACACTATTCAGAGCTTTGAACTGACTTGAATGCGCTGAGGACTTTTAAGTCGATCCAAAAAGAAGTCGCCACTGTAAAGTCTGTTACCGATCGACATTCCAAGATGCTGGCTGGATTTAATAAGGGTCAGCTATCTCTGGATAGTAAGATCACTGAGATCGAGGACCGCAGCCGTCGCCTTAACCTTAAATTAATTGGGGTTAAGCTTGGCCGCGAGGGGAGCGATATGGGGTCATTATTTACCCAGCTCTGGCCCGCCATTTTCCCTCATCTCCCCAACTTCCAGCCGGCCATTGACCGTGCTCACAGGCTGTGCGGCCGGTCCGAAACCTCTTCTCACCCCCCTCCCATCATCATGCACTTTATTGACATCCATGACCGGCAGGCGGTGATACGTGAAGCCAACAAAATACAGGACCTCAGCTTCGAAGACGGCAGAATCTATTTTTACCAAGATTTTAGCCCCAAGATTGCAGCAGCCAGGAAGGTGATGAACACACCGATCTGGGGGGTGAAGGAGTTGGGCCTTTCTCATTTCCTATTGTTTCCTGCTCGCCTGAAGCTGTGCTTTGGAAGTCGGCATGTTTTGTACTCCGGAGGACGCCAAGGCCGCCATGGACCATTTCCAGTCTCGGGACTCTTCCCATTTGATTCTCTCCCCACCGAGTTAATGGTCATTTCTGGCAGGTCACTGTAATCGCCTTGAGTTCTGTGTATTGTACTGCCCTCTTACCTGCTGCTCCTGTCTCTGATTATTTTGTCATTTGCATTTACTTTTGTTAATTATTTATATGTTTGCTGGTCTTTTGCTGTTGTCTGACTAGCTGATGGCTCTCCTGATTGCCTCCTTTCCGTTTTGTATCGGGGCAGTAACAGTGGTGGGGGTTCAGTTCCCTGAGACATGTGGCTTAAAGTCGCGGCCGACTGTCCGGCACATTCCATCTCCGGAGAGTGTGCGGCACTCTGAGATTTTTTCATGTTTTTTTCGTTTACACCTTGCTGTCTGTTTGCTTAGTTTAGATCATTGCTAATGTAAATATGGCCTCTTAGAATGTCAGAGCCCTAAATCCCCCGGAGAGAAGGTCCAGTGTGTCTGACTTTTTGAAAAGGCACCGTGTTGATATTCCTTCTTAATAGAGACCCACTTACCACAGCGGGATGCAAGGCTGGTGGCCTCCAGCTTCTACAGGGTTGTTTCCTCCTCATCAGCTTCCTCCCGGAGATCTGGCTGCTCATTTCGGTTAGACGCGCCCTTCAAAGTCGTATTCTCCATTCAGGAGGGGGTGCTGACGGCAGGTTCTGTTATGTTCTTTCTGACCTGGGGGGCAGAAAGGTCTGTTTTGTTGCTGCTTATGCCCCCCCCCCATGCGGCTCATTCTTCTTGGATCTGTCTAATTATATTCTTAAATCACAGGAATTTGAGCTTTTTAATGGTACTGATGCCAACGCCGTTCACAATCCAGTCCTGGACAAACCCCCCCCTCTCTTGGGTAGCTGGGTGCCCCCCCTCCTCCCGCTCCTTGCGTAAATTTGTGCAGGACTTGAATTTAGTCGACTCATTCCGTTTAATTAACCCTCCGCCAGAGAATTCTCCTTTTCCTCTCCTGGCTTCCAGTCTCAGTCTCACTTAGATCACATCCTTGTTTCTCTCTCTCTTCCACCTGCTGTTTCTAATGCTTCTCTGATTTCCTTCTCTATCTGATCACAAGTCTGCCTTCCTCCAGTCAGCGCTGCCTTATCTACCTCCTCGGGCCCCACGATGGAAATTTAATTCTTCTCTGCTTCAAAACCCCAAATTCATAGCTTATTTAACCCCTAGACTCGAAGAATTTATTTCCATTAATGCCGGCTCTGCTGACGACCCAGCCTGCTGCTGGGCTTCCTTCCTGATGCCACGGTTGCCTTTGCCAGCGGTTTGGCTCGCGATGGTCGTCAGAAAATTTCTGAACTAGAAAAGCGTCTATCTCAGTTATAAAGTGCGCGTCCTGCTGTGGTTGGTCAGGATCATGAGGTCCTTATTACAAGTGTAAGAGCTGAGCTGGATTCTCTTCTATCTCACTGCTCAGAGTTTATGGTTCATCGCTCCAGGTCGCACTATAATGTTTCTGGTTCCAGGCCCAGTAACCTATTGGCTCTTAGGCTTAGGCAGTGTGTCTCATTCTCAGTTATATCTTCAGTTGAAACTAATGATGGGCTCGTCACCACTAACCGTCTGGAAATCAATAAATCCTTTTTTCAGTTTTATTCTGATTTATTCTCTTCACCCCCTGTCTCCCCATCCTCTGATCCCGATTCCTTCCTTACCCCTCCCCCGGCTCTCGGGTCCAGAAGCCTCCATGCTTGATGCTCCTCTTTCAGTCACAGAACTTAGAGGCTCTGGACTCCATGAGCCCAGGGAAATCTCCGGGACCCGATGGTCTCCCTCCTGATCTCCTTTCTGCCTTCTGGAAACAGCTTTCTACTCCGCTTCACCACATGCTGAATTCTGCTATTAATTCATCCTTGATGACTTTACTGTTTAAACCAGGCAAAGACCCCACAGACTGTTCCAGTTACCACCCGCTGTCCCTGATGAATTCCGATGTTAAGCTGCTCGTAAGGTTCTTGCTCATTGGCTGCAGGCAGCGATTTCTGAATTGATTCACCCGGATCAAACTGGCTTTATTAAGTCCCGCCATGCTGCCAACACCATGTGCCGCCTTCTGCCCCCTCCTTCATACTGCCCCCTCCCTTCCCTTCCCTGCTGCCCCCTCTTCCCTTCTGCCCCCTCCTTTCCTTTCCCTGCTTCCCTTCTCTCCTTAGATGCTTAGAAGGCATTTGACAGGATGAATTGGACATTTTTATGGAGGCTCCTCGACCGAATGGGCATCGGCCCGTATTTTACCGACTTGGTCCAGACCCTCTACTCCTCTCCCTCCTCAGTCCTCCTGACTAATGCCACCATCTCTCCTCCTCTTTGACTTTCTCGAGGTGCCAGGCAGGGTTGTCCCTTATTGCTCTTACTCTTTAATCTCTCATTAGAGCCCCTACCTGCAGCCCTCTGTCATTCCGATCTTATTTCTCCTATCCTGGTTAAAGGTCTTCCTCCTTATATGCTTGCGATCTGCTGCTTTACCTTGGCAATGCCCCCACTGATCTTCCTCACGTCCTTAATTTGTTTCAAACATATGAATCCCTCTCTGGCTATAAGATTAACTGGTCAAAGTCTTCTCTCTTTCCACTGGATCCTGCCTGTCACTCTTCTTCATTTCCTTCTTCTATTCCTCTAGCAGACTCCTTCAGATACCTGGGGTTGGACATCTACCCCTTGGTCCCGGAGCTTACAGCTGCTGACTTCCGCCATGTTCTGGAGGGTATTAAAGTCTCGATCTCCTCATGGTCTCTTTCCCTTTCATTCTAGGAGAGACTAGCCATCATTAAAATGAACATCCTCCCGAGGATTAATTTTGTTAGTTCCTTACTTCCACTTCCTCCTCCACCTAGATACTGGGCTTCCGTTAAGTCTGTAGTTTCTGCATTTATTTGGGATGGTAAGAGACCTTCTGTTAAACATTCCACTCTAATCCATGACCGGTTAGATGGGGGTATCGCCCTCTCAGATTTTGAACTTCCTTTCACCCTAAGGCCTATATGGAGTTGGATCAGTCCTCCCCAGCATCCCCCTGTCTGGCTTCTCATCAAAGCAGGTTGTCATTCCCCATTGTCTAGCCTCTCTCCCTTTCTTACCCATTAAATTAAAATCTATCTTGGCCTCTGTTGGTCCAGTTATTTCCCATGCCCTTCATACATGGAGGAGGGTCGAGCGATTGCTGGGCTCCTTCCCGAAGTGACACCCCCGCACTCTGCTGTTCCACAGCCCTGTCCTGAACATTGGAGGCCCCATCTCCAGCTCACCATGGTCATCGTCAGGCATTTCTACTCTGGGTCTCAAATCGTTTCAGTCTCTTGTGTCCATGTTTAACCTTCCTTCCTCTTCGTATTTTTTTAACCTCCTGCTGAGATCTGTGCTTAGGGCTTGTAGTCTCTCTTTTTCCTCTCCTCTTCCTCCTCATCCGCTCTGCACATTTGCTTCGACTCTCTCCCCCAGTCCTAAGCCTGTGTCTAGTCTCTGTTCCCTTCTCCGCAAATCCTCTTACAAACCTCTCTCTGTCACTCCGGTCTGGCAGGTGGAGCTCTCCCCCTCCCCTGTGTTATCCTGCAGTGTCATTTTTTAAAACATTAAAAACTTTTCTAAAAATCATCAGTAAACACAATTTAAATTTCTCCATAGACTGTATCCCACTCCCAGGAGACACCATCTGACTCATTATGTCACCTCTGTCCCCTTCCAGTCCCTGGCACCTTTCTCCATATGTTTTATGTTAAAATTGTTAAATAAAAATTTGATCACAAAAAAAAACACAGTGAGAATGGGCAGCAGGAGATCTTCACGCTGGCCGTCAGCAGTGACATTCTGCAAGGCTGCTGCCTCAACATTATACCATTATAATGTTTGTTATTAATGTATATTAAAGCTGTCATGTCGTGTTCATTGAGAGTCTTATGAATGCAGTGCTTTAAGGCATGTTACAGTGTACTTACATGCTGCTTATTAATGTCCTATGAATGCATTATGAAGGTCCATTTAATGTAAATCATTACAGAATTTCACTGTGTTCCTCCAGTCTCTGGAAAACAAGCATTGAAACCGGAAACAAAGATCTTACTCCTGTCTCACAAAGTTTTTACTAAAGAGCCTGTAAATCACTTGCAGCTGAAAAACAACACAGTCAGACTTTTTAATCACACCTGAGCCTTAATGGTCTGCTGCTTAGCTATTAATAAAGTGTTATGAATCATTTGATAAATTAGTAAATAAAAAGATTCACTTAAAATCTAATTTACAAATGTATTACAAAGATATATCTTACTCCTTTCTTACAATGTATTTACTAAAGAGCTTCCAAATGCTCAATTATAACTCAGTTCAGAGTTACTGCTTACTAAACCACTGTTTTATATTTACAAGTGATTTACAAGCTGTTTTATAAATACCAGGAGCAAAATATGATTGTGATGCATTTATAAAGGAACAGACAATAAAAAAATGTTCTTTAAAGTCGTACCTTTTTTCAAGTTGTAAAAAGCACATCTGATTCAAATGATGTCCATGTATTTACTGATGTTAGAGGAACAGCAACTTGTTCACATCATTAATAACCTCTGTTGTCATCCCATAGGTCTGACCACAGAACGACCTGTAAAGATCTGCGAGTTTGTGTTCATCTACATACTGATTGTCACAAACAATGATGACTGGTATCGGGATATGCACCTTGGTACAAATCAGTTTTTTTTCACCCCTTTTTTTTTAAAGCATAACCTTTCAGATCTGTTTATGTGTCAGAAATACTCTTGTCAAATCAAAGATTCTGAAATGTAATTTTTTTTATATTTGATAAATCAGTTGCTCTTAGAAAATATAATTATAAAATTTAATAAACTGAACATTTAAATAATGAAAAACTAAATTATATATGCATGGCTATTTGAATGTACATATGTAGCCGTGTGACCAATGTTTTTCTCTCTACATTTCAGCCAATACCCGTAAATGTGTATATTTCTCAGGGGCTCTTGGTCTCCCTCTCCTGAATTCTGCTGCCCTGGCTGTAGCATTAAAGTTCAAAGCAGGTAAATACACTAAGAATTTGAGATGTTTCTCCTGCAAATTTAGTGTTACTATGTAAACTTAAGAGTGCAGCTGAATTATGTATATACTGTATGCATTCCTGTAGTTTATAATCTGTCACTAGGGTGACATTCATTCGGGTCTTACTGCCGCATTATGACACAGTTTGTCATAAAATTCTGCTCAGCTGTATGGAAACTCTGGTAGGCATTAAGGGTATACCACTTTCCTGGTTTACCTCATATTTTATTGACAGGGAACAGTTTGTGTCCATTGATAGCTTCATGTCGCGCAGGGCACCATAAACACACGGAGTCCCCCTGGGCTCTGTCTTGGGCCCTCTTCTTTTTCTCATCTATATTCTTCCCCTTGGTCATATTATTCGTCAGCATGGATTAAATTTTCATTGCTATGCCGATGACACACAAATTTATATTCATTCAAAGCCCTCTAACCTACTCTCTCCATCGGGCTTGGTAAGTTGTCTCACCGCCATTAGCACTTGGATGACACAAAATTTTCTCAAACTCAATCATGACAAAACAGAAGCTATTTTGATTGCCACACCAACCATGTTAAGCAAGATCGAGCATTTAAACCTGTCTATCCCTGGGTACTTCACCACTACTACCTCTGAAGTAAAAAATCTTGGAGTCATGATGGATTCAACTCTTTCTTTTGATTCCCATATCAAACACATCACCAAAACAGCTTTTTTCCATCTCAAAAACATATCTAGAATACGAGCTTCTCTTACCTTTACCTCTGCAGAGACTCTCATCCACGCCTTTATAACCTCTCGGTTAAACTACTGTAATGCCCTGCTATTCGGCATTTCAGCTAAGAACCTTAGCAGGCTGCAATATGTTCAAAACTCCGCAGCACGTGTTCTTACGTCTACCAAATCCAGGCAACATATCACCCCTGTTCTACACCAGCTTCACTGGTTACCCATTCAATACAAAATTATTTTGTTAGTTTTCAAAGCACAGTATAACCTGTCACCTAGATATCTTTCTGATCTCCTAACTTCATACCAACCTACACGTACTCTGCGGTCCACTGATGCTCACCTTCTCACTGTTCCACTCACCCGTCTGCGCTCTATGGGTGACAGAGCTTTCAGTGTAGCTGGTCCTAAATTATGGAACTCTCTCCCCTTGCACTTCGTCAATGCACTGAGCTTTCTACTTTCAAAAAACTTCTGAAAACTCATCTCTTTCTACTGGCTTTCCATACATCACCCTGAAATTTTATCATTTTCCTTTTTACATTGTAAATTGTTTTTATTCATTCTTATTTCTATTTTTTATTGTATTCCGGTATGTACTTATTTCACTTTATTATTTTTTTTGTGAGGCATGTGTCAGCGTCAGACGGGGAGGCGAGCGAGAAAGCAGGCGATCGGGAGCCAGGAAGTAGGGAAACGGGGTTTATTCGGCGAGGGAAGACAGGCACGAACATCTAACGAGACACTACAATGACGGAACTGGGGACTACTGACTTAGACACGGACTAAATACACAAGACAAGCTAGACTTAATAGGACACAGGCGAGCACAATCAGGATTGAACACGAGGTAATGAGGGGGGCGTGGCACACATCGGGATCGTACGGAGCAGGGTGTGACAGCATGTTCTTATTATTGTATTTATTGTTTAGTGGTTTTACTCTGCTTCATGTACGGTGTCCTTGGGTGACTTGAAAGGCGCCTTATAAATAAAATGTATTATTATTATTATTATTATTATTTTTTCATCCAAACTGTGCGGCTTTCCAGCCCCCCTCCCGCACTGATGTTGGGTATCCTCCTTTTAGCCCCTTATCCTCCTTTTAGCCCCTTATCCTCCTTTTAGCCCCCTTTTCCTCCTTTTAGCCCCCTTTTCCTCCTTTTAGCCCCTTATCCTCCTCTTAGCCCCTTATCCTCCTTTTAGCCCCTTATCCTCCTTTTAGCCCCCTTTTCCTCCTTTTTGCCCCTTATCCTCCTTTTAGCCCCTTATCCTCCTTTTAGCCCCCTTTTCCTCCTTTTAGCCCCTTATCCTCCTTTTAGCCCCTTATCCTCCTTTTAGCCCCCTTATCCTCCTTTTTGCCCCCTTATCCTCCTTTTAGCCCCTTATCCTCCTTTTAGCCCCCTTATCCTCCTTTTTGCCCCCTTATCCTCCTTTTAGCCC